AAAAAAAAAAAAAAAACTGGATGTGATTTTCCATGGTTAGTAGAAACAGCTGCTTTGAGTAGTCTTGACATTAAACTCCATTTATTGAAAACCTTAGAGATTTTCCAAACCTAGAGTTACGTTTCAAAACATGATTCAGATGCATTAGGCAACCCCAAGTGGGGGCTGATGTGTTAAACCATCTGTTATCTATGGAAATATTTAATGTCAGTTTGGTGTTTTCTGATATTCAGACTCAGCAAGATGTGTTCGTATGTATCGGGCAAGATGTTACAAGTTACTTCTGGAAGTTGCTGGTACCTAAATGCACAGCATAGGTTTTAAAATCTTCTCTATGGTTTCCAGCTGCTAAGCTGACTTTCATACGTATTCGTTAAATACTTTAGTGATTAATTTTCAGGCATTGCACATTTGTAATTGCAAAAACAAAATTATTTGCCGTGAATTCAATTTGTCAATTGTAGGAAACATGCTAGCGAGCTTATGTTGCAAATACATTTCTTACCGTGATTTAGTTGCAAAATATGATTGCACTCTTGAGAACCTTAAGCTCTGTAGTACCTTAACTGTTTTAGAAACACTTGTCAGAGAGAGAGATTTCCAGAATCAGCAAATCATCGATCAGCTGCAAAATAAACCACCCTTCAGAGCAGCCGACGGTACTGGTGTGCATTACATCAATAATACTGATGCACTTCTGTTGTGCCAGGGACAGTAATGTATGCACATATAAATTCCTTTAAAGTTGATTGCAGCGTGTGGGTCGTAGAGGAAAGTAGGCTTACTATTGTGTAAATGAAACAAAACCCCTGTAAGATTAAATCTGAGTCGGAGAGTGGAACGGTATGTGACTACTGGCTGTTTTTTCTGCAACTGGAAACATTTTACAGTCCGTCAGAAATAGGTCTGTATACAGCAAAGTACTTAAGTGTTCTTTTAACTTTAAACATATGGGTAATCCAGGTAAAGTCAGTGGAATTACTTATTTTCAAAATTAATTTCATGCTTAAATGATTTGCTGACAAAGGTCATAATTATGAATGTCAAAGAAATATAACTTTGAACAGATGTTAGAGAGCTTTTTCAATGCTGACTCCTGTATATACCTGAGTCTGTGGCAGATAAAGATAAAGCTGAGATAAGTCAAGCGTGTGAGGGCAGGTGTGGAGGTAGGGTGGCTTTGCCCCAAGGTCATCATCATCGGCAGGATTTCAGGTGTGCCCCGGACAGTTTGCTTCTGGTGGGAATTCGTCGGCCGGCTTTGCAGATGGCAGCGAGGGTGGGATTGGTGTGGTTGCGGCTGACGGGCTGTTGGCAGTGTCCGGGGGAACGCGGGAATGGAAAGAAAAAGCTTGAGTATTTTAGAGAAGCAGAGCTCACTATTCATTTCCCCGTAACTTTACGATCTTTTTCGTCAGGTTTATAGCACAGCCTTTAACAAAACAATATAAAAAAGGGGATGTATGAGGTTACATTGCCGCCTTTTATTCCCTCAGCAAAAATTCTTCTGTTTTATCAGGAGGCAAAATCCACCCCAGGCCATGGTATAAGTCTCCATCCTATCCTTTAAATCCCTTAGGATCCCAGAGACCTCCAGAATTTTAGAGCATCTCTGACCACCTCCCTTGCATCTTTACCCATTCTATGTGGAGACACAGTACCGGGGATGTATTGGGATGTCACGGTCTGGTGCTGGAGGTCACTTTGAAAGCTCAGCTCCAGGGCAGAGGAGGTTCCAGCAGTATTCCCTCAGTCTGAAAAGCAGGCAGTAGTCATCTTCATGCATAGTCCTAATGTGATCTGTTCCAATGAGGCTTTAGTGTTCAGAAATCTTTTGTATTCTGTTTTGGTTAAAAGAAAAGAAGTAGTTCGCTCTTCTTTTCTGCCTGACCTTTCTGAATAGGAGCGCTGATTGGTGTGCAAATGACATTCTAGCTGGATTAATTTAGCAGGGAAACAACGCGTTTCTAGTGCCAAAGAAAATAGCTGACAAAATTTGTTAATGAATTGACATGCTTATATACAATCAATGGCTTGAAATACAGATAGAGGAAACAAATCTAAACAAATAAATACCA